ATCCGGAAAGTGGCCTCTAGCGTGGCGTTGGAGCCTGGAGCGTGGCATTGATATATATATTTAAAAATAAAATCCTATTAAAAAAAACTCTGTGCTCTACATCAAAAACAATTTTTTTTATTATTTTCAGGAGCAGTCTAAGATTGTGGTGGTTCCGTTCACTATGAAGATGCCAGTCAGTATAATTAATTAAACAAAATTTTGTACCCCCTTTCCTTATTAAAGTGAAGATGAGCTCTCTAGGACAAAGGAAGCAAAAACCATAGTGTACAAAAACTTACTGTTTAGATGTGATGACTCTTTTCTGAGAACATCTTTGTTGTTAGATTATTTAAAAGGTTTTCATGGGACCGGGAGAGCCTTACAAATGTCTTTGGTGGTGCAGAGATAGCTCAGTGGAAAAGCACTTGTCTTGCAGACTTGCAGCCTTGAGTTTGATTCTCTTTTACTAAAAAAAAAAAAAAAAAAAAAAACTCCCCCAGTGGCCCTGCTAGTTTGGATATAGGAACCAGATCTCAGCCTACTGCCACAAAATGTGGGCAAACACTTCAGCTAAAGCTTGCACTGTTTCTAATATGTTTGAGCACTCAAACCAATTGCACAGTTCTCAGTGAAGGCCAAAATAACAGCAGAATGAAGAGAAAGGGAGCATTTGAAAATAAACAAAAAATTTAAATATAATAAAATTATTCACTGTCCTGTCACTGTCCTGTGCTCCCGTTGGTCGTCGATTTGCTCGAGCGGGCCCAGTAACGTCTCCATCATGAGACTTGTTGTTACTGTGTTTGGTATATCCAATACGCCACGGGGAGCTTGCCAGGCTTTGCCGTGCGGGTGAGATACTCTCAGTAGCTTGCCGGGCTCTCCAAGCGGGGCAGAGGAATCGAACTTGGGTGGACCATGCTGGCTGCATGCAAGGCAAATGCCCTACCCACTGTGCTATCACTCCAGCCCAATAAAATTATTGTAAATTTAAATGTATTTTTGTTTGGGGTCCACCACCAGTGATGCTGGTTACTCCTGGCTCTGCACTCAAGGACTATTCCTGGAGGTGAATGGGGAACCATATGGGATGGCAAGGATTAAACCCAGTTCTTGGCAAGTGCACTACCCTCTGTATAATCTCTCCAGCCCTCCCTTACAAAATTATTTTTTTATGTAGGATTATTGCTATTTATTGAGCCTTTGGTTAAGCTGATTGAATTGGGCATGAATTCCACCTTACTTTTTTTTTCCTTTAAGTCTCGGTCATACAGTGATGAAACACCCATCCCTTCACCAGTGCCCATTTTCCACCAGCAAAAACTCTAGGATACCTCCCATCCCACACCCTCTCCCTACCTGTAGGGCAGATGATTTCCACATTACTCTCTCGCTACTTTGATTACACTCAATTTTTCGACACCAGACCCACCATTATTATTTAGGATTTTACCCCCCAACACTCAGATCTGCCGAAAAGGCAACTGTAGACAATCTCTTTTCTATTGCTGGTTATGAATAACATGTGATGTCACACGGCTGCAGTAGTGGCTGCGCGATTTTGGAATTCCAAAGTTTTAACAATTAAATCTGAAGAGATTTCTGCCAAAACTTGCTGGGTTCTGAGATTTGATCCTGAGTCTCTGGGATCATGGCTGTTAGTGGCTTGATCAGGAGCCAGAGAGGCTGTACATGGGCGGTGACCAGGGGTCTTGTTGGGGAGGGGAGAAAAGGGCAGGCTCCACTCCCATCCTGTGAGGCCCCACGTGTCTCGTCACTGCAGGCCCAAACCTGACTGTCCAATGGCCTCTGGAGGATGGAGGCCACTGAGCCACCAAGAGGATAGCACCCTTTCCCCTCTGGGGTGGCCTGGTGCCAGTAACCTACTGCGGACCAGACGCATTTCTTCCAAAAGCTGCTAGGTTCCAACATTTATTTCTGGATCTCAGGGATCATGGTCATTAAGCAATTTGATGACAAACCAGAGAGGCCTTGTCTCCAATTACATAGCTGAGCTGGAGGTGGTTTGTGGGTGTGTCTCCCACATATCTAACTTTTGGCCGTTTACTTTCTTGATAAACTTGACCCCATGTTGTTGAGGTCTGGCCAAAGGCACAGCAGCAATTTTAGGGTATCTGAAAGTCTGAAGGCACCATCAGGCTATTGGTGCACTTGCCTCACAAGTACAGATTAACCTGCTGGCGGCACCATACTCCCAACACAGATCTTCTTACATCTAAAGTACATGCGACATTTTCAGGTTTTTGTCACCTGCTTTTGATTTGTCTTGATGTCATTCCAGAGATTGATCCCAGGGCGTCACAAATATGAGTCTTTAACTAACTGCTCTTTGTCTTTAGTTTTGTTATTTTTTTTTAAGCAATCACTATACTGTTATTCAAAGATTCTACATCAAGTTACATTCAACCATCGTGAGTGTTCCTTTCCCTCTGCATCCTCAGTAACATGTTGTTTCCAAATAACCTGCTCCCTGCCTCCCATATTTGTATGCCATTTTGAAGGTGTAGAGTGATAAATTATTGTGCTTTTAACTTGCATTTTCCTAGTAATAACTGATAATGAGCATTTTTTTGAGGGGTGGTTGGGAAAATTGATAATAATTGTAGTGGGAAGTTGCATTGGCAGTGGACTGGTGTTGGCATATTGAATGTAATAAATCATGAACAACTTTATTATAAAAACAAATATTTTTAAGAGAAAATTAAATCTGGATGCTTAAAGTATTTAAAGTTTTTGTTTGGGGCTGGAAAGTGTACAGTAAGTAGGGTGTTTGCCTTGCATGCTGTAAACTCTGATTCAATCCCCAGCTCCCCATATGGTCCACCGAGTCCCACCAGGAGTGATCCCTAAGCGCAGAGCCACGAGTAAGCTCTAAGCACTGTTGGGTGTTGCCCACTCCATCCCCCCAACCCCCCAGGAAACAAAAATGGAACATATAGTCCTCATTACCTAGCCTGACTTTACCAGTTACACAAATGACTTCAGATTGTAATAAATAACCCAAGACTTGTTACTTAGCCTTCCAGCATGCTGGTTTTCTCTCCTGAAAAAAAAAAATGGAGATAATAAGAGCAATTCTTTCCTAGAAGTGTTTTGAAGATTAAATAAAACAATTAATGTAAAACATGTAAATTGCTCAGTGTTGTAGAATAAATAGTGATTCCCTTGGGGCTGGAGAAATTGTGCAGTAGCCAAGGCGCTTGCCTTGGACTCTGGTGAACCTAGTTTGATCCCTCGCACCACATCTGGTCGCCCAAGCCTGTCAGGAGTGACTCCTGAGTGCAGAGCTAGAAGTAAATCCTAAGCACTGTTGGGTATGGGCCAACAAACAAACAAAAAAATTGTGTTCCCTTATAAAAGCCTGGCAAGCTACTGTGATATATTCGATATGCCAAAAACAGTAGCAACAAGTCTCACAATTTGTTGTGAGATGTTATTGGTGTCCGCTCAAGCAAATCGATGAACAACGGGGGGGGGGGGGGGGGGGCAGTGCTACAGTGCTATGAAATTAGTATGCTGTAACCCTAACTTATGGTGTGTTTTATTTGAAGATTAAAAACTTACAAATGATTCTTAAGGTTCAAAGGGGTGATAAGGGCAGACTTTCAATTCGTTATAACTGATGTCTTCATAAGAAAACTAAGCCCTGACCACAGCTGAATGTATCCACACCCACAAAAAAGAAAAAAAAAACATAAAACCCCTGAACACTTAAAGGAGGATTAGGAAAACAGCATAACAGACTGAACTGTACGGTATGAAGAGCCTCAGGCTTGATCCTAGTACCACCTGATCCCTTGAGCACCTCCAGTGTGAACACTGAGTCAGGAGTAGTCCCACCCTGCCCCAAGCACCACCGGGATAACTCAGGGAGGAAGGTGTTTGGTTGTTGGTTTAAAGTTGATCAGCATTGTCTAGTTTTCCTCTACGTAGAGAGTAGGTTTCAGGTTTTTTAATATTTTACATGTGAGATAAAAGTAAAGTGGCCTTTCAATAATGAAAAAGTCTATAGCCCCAAAGGACACTCTTCATAGGTACTTGGTATATCCCAGTAAACATTCATAAAATGAATAAATAAAGCCCCCGCGCCTGGGTGTTCCCTCCCGGAGTCCCTTGGAGGGGAGCGGGTTGAGCTTTCCTCCCCGCCCCGACCAGGGCTCCGGCAGTCGAAGACCTCCAGGACCAGCCACCACCATGCTGAGACCACTCTCCGCACACATGAAGGTACTGGCAGAGGGACAAAGCCACGCGGGTTCCGGGGCCGAGACCTCCAAGCCTACTCGACATCTTAACAGGACTTTTTTTTTTTTATGACATCTTATTGTCTTATTCCTACTTTGGACAATCTTGCAGGCTATCGAATGTAGCCTGCCCACAGGGCAGAGTCTGGCAAACTCCCCGTGGCGTACCAAATATGCCAAATACCAGTAACAACGATGGGTCTCATTCTCCTAAATAGCCTTGAATATAATCTCAGGGCTAGGATGAAAGAGACGTTACTGGGGCCTGCTCGAGGCAATCGACGAATAAATAAAGCCAATAGTTTGAATTCACCTATTTACTGTTCTTCCTACCCCCAAATATAAATTAATGACAGTAAAGAAATACAAGGCTGAGGAGTAAGGTGCTTGCCTTGCATGCAACTGACCTGAGTTATCCCTGACCATATAAATTCCCCTGAGCTCATCAAGAGTGATCGCCAAGCATAGAGTCAGGAGAAAGCCCTAATAAAAACCATATGTAGGTTTTTTCCCCTTCCAAAACTGGGAAAAAATAAAAACATACAAAGGGAATATTGGAGTGATAGCACAGAGATAGCACAGCCTGGCACACGGCTGACCTGGGTTCAATTCCCAGCACCCCGTATGGTCCCCTTGAGCGCCGCCAGGAGTAATTCCTGAGCACATGAGCCAGGAGTAACGCCGTGCATGGTTGGGTGTGATCCAAAAAGGAAAAAAAAGGGGGAATATTAAGCTCATGTAATAATAAATAATATAGTGCTCATTTCAGCAGCACATATACAAAAATTAGACTGATAAGGAGATTATCATGGCCCATGTACAAGGATAATACAGAAATTTGTAAAGCATTCCATATTTTTTTAATTTGGTTATTTCCCAAATAATAATAAATAATATAAAGTGAAGGTAGTGATTTAATAAAAAATTCCAACAATTATTTGGAAGATGGAAAATAGATGGTAGTTTGTTGATATATAAAAGAATGCAAGAGCTTTTGTCAAAAATACAATGAGTTGACTTCTGGCACCATGTAAACTCATTCACCAGTCATGAGCCAGAGACTCATAAATAAATCTCAAAAGAGATTAATAAATTGCAGAATTCTTCCAGACAGCCCCAAGCCCCTGCTTCCCCCCACCGGCTGAGTCTTCCAGGGTATCCTGAGGGGGCCAAGTGAGTCCAGTGCTTGCCTGAACAGAGCCCCGGCAGCCAAAAACCTCCACACCTCACAATCATAGCCATGCTCCCAGCTGAACTCCACTGCTTGGGTGTAGCCTCATTCAGAAATTTTATTCTGTTGAAAACCTCAGGAATGCAGGTTTTGTGACTGAAATTTTCAGGTTTTCAAGGAGTCAGGAAGAGGCTACTTCCTGCCATATCCCTGTACTTCCAGAAGCCTTAGTAGTCATGAAAATATTTTTTTTTTTGCTTTTTGGGTCACACCCTGCGCTGCACAGGGATTACTCATGGCTCATGCACTCAGGAGTTACTCCTGGCAGTGCTCAGGGGGACAATATCGGATGCTGGGAATCAAACTCGGGTCTGCCATATGCAAGGCAAATGCCCTACCTGCTGTGCTATCGCTCCAGCCCCATGAAAATAAAATTTTAACACATGGAACTAATCCAGAACCCGGCAGCTTGTGGCAGAAAAGTAAATGGACTATGCGTTAAATTATGGCGCCATGCCTCCCCGGGCAGTCTTCTGCCCCTGCGCCTGGGTGTTCCTTCCCGGGGCCCCTTGGAGGGGAGCGGGTTGAGCTTTCCTCCCCGCCCCGACCAGGGCTCCGGCAGCCGAAGACCTCCAGGACCAGCCACCACCATGCTGAGACCACTCTCCGCACACATGAAGGGACTGGCAGAGGGACAAAGCCACGCGGGTTCCGGGGCCGAGATCTCCAAGCCTACTCGGATTGGAATCGAGCATCTTCCACCCAGATCCTCCAAATTCCAGTAGGCGGGGGTCACACCCACCACCTGGCCCCCTGGCGCCGTGTAATCCCATCAGCAGCCAAGACTCAGAGACTATAAAATCTAGATTCCGGAACCGCGCGGCCGCAAATGCGGCTGCGCGACATCTTATCAGAACTTTTTTTTATGACATCTTATTGTCTCATTCCTACTTTGGACAAACTTGCAGGCTAGTGAATGTAGCCTGCCCACAGGGCAGAGTCTGGCAAACTCCCCGTGGCGTACCAAATATGCCAAATACCAGTAACAATGATGGGTCTCATTCTCCTAAAGAGCCCTGAATGTAATCTCAGGGCTAGGATGAAAGAGACGTTACTGGGGCCTGCTCGAGGCAATCGACGAATAACAGGATGATGAAATGAAAAAATGAAAAAATGCCTCCCCGGGAGATAAAGAGTATCTCCCCGGGAGATAAAGAGTGTCGCTTCCTTCCACCCCCCCACCCCCCCGCCCCACCGGCAGCAAGGTGGCCACCACCACAGAGCTTATTGGAAAGCCAGGAATGAGCTGGCGATGATGGGCAACTGCAGCCTCATGGGATGCGGGGCAGTACTGGCTAGTCCTTCACGCCCTACCAAGGCCACAAGTTGCCCCCCACGAGCAGCTCTCCAGCACAACCATGGCACCAGGCACACAGAAACCAATCTCCTAATTATCTGGCTCTTGGCAGCAATCCCTCCAGATTTAACTAGTAAAATATCAGAAATCTAAAATCGTGTGGCTGCCATGAGAAAATGCTCCACATCATTAATCATCAGGGAGATGCAGATCAAAACCACAATGAGATATCACTTCACACCACAGAGACTGGCCCATATCCACAAGCACAAAAGCAACAGGTGCTGGCGCGGATGTGGTGAGAAAGGGACACTCCTTCACTGTTGGTGGGAATGCCAACCGGTTCAGCCCTTTTGGAAAACAGTGTGGACGATTCTCAAAAAATTAGAAATTGAGCTCCCATTTGATCCAGCAATACCACTCCTGGGAATATATCCCAGAGAGGCAAAAAAGTATAGTTAAAGTGACATCTGCAATTGCCTGTTTATTGCAGCACTCTTTACAATAGCCAGAATCTGGAAAAAACCTGAGTGCCTGAGAACAGATGACTGGTTAAAGAAACTTTGGTACATTTACACAATAGAGTACTATGTAGCTGTTAGAAAAGACAAAGTCACGAAATTTACATACAAGTGGTACTACATGGAAAGTATCATGTTAAGTGAAATGACTCAGAAAGAAAGGGATAGAAAGATTGCATTCATCTGGGGGACATAAAGTAACAAAATAGGAGACTAACACCCAAGAATGGCTGAGATTAGTACCAGGAATTTTACTCCATGACTTGGAGGCCAACCACACATACTAGGGAAAAAGGGAGCTCAGATAAAGAGGGGAACACCAAATAAAGGTGTTGGGAGGATCCTCCCAGGATGGGAGAAGCTATAGACCAAACATGATTGCCATTCAATGTTTCTTTTGCAAACCACAACACCCAAAAGGAGAGAGAGAGAACAGAGGGGAATGCCCTACCACAGAGACAGTATGGGATGGGGGGATGGGGGTGGGAGGGATACTGGGATCCATGGTGGTGGGAAATGGGCACTGGTGGAGGGATGGGTATTTGATCATTGTATAATTGAAACCCAAGCACAAAAATGTGTAAGTCTGCAACTGTACCTCATGATGTCTCACTATTAAAAAATTTTTTAATAAAAAAAATAAAGAGAAAAAATAAATAAATAAATAAATAAAATCACATGGCCGCTATTGAGGCCGCACGACATCATATGGTTTTCATAACCAACAATAGAAAAAAATTATTTCAAAATCCCTTTTCAGCAGTTCTGATTGTTGGGTTGAAATTCTAAACAATATATTATGGTGCATTTTTTTTTATCAAAATAATGAGTGTAATCAAAGTAGTAAGTAAGTAAGTAAAGGCCCTCCCGTTGATCGTCGATTTGCTCGAGCGGGCCCAGTAACGTCTCCATTGGAGACTTTGTTGTTACTGTGTCTGGCATATCGAATACTCTCGGTAGCTTGCCGGGCTCTCCGAGAGGGGCGGAGGAATCGAACTCGGGTCGGCCATGTTGGCCGCATGCAAGGCAGACGCCCTACCCGCTGTGCTATCGCTCCTGTCCCGAGAGAGTTAAATAGAAATCATCTGCCTCACAGGCATTGGGAGGGGTGGGGGGGTGTATTGGGGTTCTTGGTGGTGAAAAATAATTACTGGTGAAGGGAAGCATGTTTAATCATTGTATGACTGAGACTTAAACCTGAACGCTTTGTAACTTCCCATGGTGATTCAATAAATATAACAAAAAAAAAGAAAATTTAAAAAATAAATAAAATACAATGAGGAGGAGCTGGAGATCCAGTACTGCATAGAAGGTGCTAGTCTAGCAGTCTGCTAAACTAGGTTCAATCCCAGGCAGCACATATGATCCCCCAAACCGTACCAGGACTGATCGCTGAGCAAAGAGCCAGAAGTAAGCCCTGAACATTGCCAAGTGTGGCCCCAAAGCCAAAACTAATATAAATAAATACAATAGGATACCATGAAGATAAGACTGTAAAGAGAAGGGCTATAACACTGCAGTGAAATCAGACAAGTTTGAGTTGTGGATTGTCATGTTTTAATAGGGTAGTTACTTAGTGTCTTCTGGAACAACCATTCAGGTAGTTGGTCTAACTACTCCTCTCTGGGAGCAAAGCAACTAGAAGCCCTGGTCTTATCAGTGCTGATGAGAGGCTTCTTTCTAAGGAATTTAAAGACCTTCCTAGAGAGGCCCAAGGCTTCTTCTACTCTTTAGAAGTAATATCCTAGAGCAAAATCTCTGCCCACCCCTATCCTGATTTTCTGGTGTTTTTCCAAATGGTCCTTATGTTCTCCATATGGAAAGTCTGAATAGTTGACTCTGACTCAACTTGCATATACATTGCCACTGATAAGAGAGAGAAAAAAATCTATCGAGAAACTAACATGCAGCAATATAAACCCTTGCCCATCTCTATGCTAGTTAACCTAGTCTCTTTTTTTTGTAAATAAAAATAAACATATGACCCCAGAAATAGGAAGAAAATGGAACATATATATGTTACATATATATACTATCTAGAAATACATGTGTGTATACATATATGTCTATCTAGAAATACATGTGTGTATACATACATGTCTATCTAGAAATACATGTGTGTATACATATATGTCTATCTAGAAATACATGTGTGTATACATATATGTATGTGTGTCTATGTATGAACACACATATTTCTAGATAGTATTGCAAATCAGTGGGGAAAAGGTAAGTAGTTTAATAAGTAATGATGAAGCAATTGATTTTTCCATATGGGAGTTAAAAAACTAAAATTTTGCCTCTCCTTATCTCCATATTTGAATGGAATAGATACAGAATATGAAATAAAAGTACAACATTTTTAGGCATAAACAGAGTAAAACGTCTTCATTAAATGAGGGCAAAGATTCTAATCAAGTACAAAGAGCAGAATCTATAAAGGAAAATTGATCAAATGAGTGTCAGTCTCAGTCTCGGTCCTTCCGTTGTTCATCGATTTGCTCGAGCAGGCCCAGTAACGTCTCAGTCGTGAGACTTGTTGTTACTGTGTTTGGCATATTGAATACGTCACGGGTAGCTTGCCAGGCTTTGCTGTGGGCGAGATACTCTCGGTAGCTTGCCGGGCTCTCGGAGAGGGGCGGAGGAATTGAACCCGGCTCAGCCAGGCTGGCTGCACGCAAGGCAAATGCCCTACCGCTGTGCTATCACTCCAGCCAAGAGTGTCAGTAAAACTTGAAATTTTGTATGACAAAGGTACAATAAACAAAGTGAGAGATAGGCACAAGCTGGAAGATATTTTATAATTCGTAT